GGACGTGAGGCAGCCTGCCCACAGTGACTCGGCTAATAACCAGACTCCAAAGTCTGTATTCTTCCAACCATACGCCTTTGCCTTCAAAAGATTTAAGGCTTGGGACCCAGGCTTTTATTGAGCGCTTCTCTGGACTTTGCCAAATAAACATGCAATTTGTCAAGTTTTACCGAAAAGGAAAAAGGACTCATTACTCTTTCTGAAGCTTCCACAGAATGCCAGGAAGGCAGACGGACACTGGAAGAACACATTCGTTTTGGACAGGAGTGACAGCTGAGCACGCTCAAGTACCAAGAAGAGACGCGTCCTGCGTGCTCCAGTGCCCCCAAGAGCGAGTTCTGCGAGGGGGTTGTGGGGAACGAGTTCGCCAAGTGGGGCAGGACGGCTTCGGGCTCAGACGGACCTAGGTGAGTCACACGAATCCCCCGAGCCCAGATGCGAGTTCTGGGAATGGGGGGTACCCACCGGCCCCAATCTCAGGGGCCACCGCAGAGGCGCAGCCCCCGAGCCCTGGGGCCGCCCCGTATACAGCGCTCAGGTCCAGCCCTCTCGCCACTGCCCCTGCCACACCTGCAAGCCGCGGAGTTTAGGGGGCAGTCGCCCAGGTTAGAAGCCCACCAGGCTGTGGAAGTGGCCACGAAGAGTCAGTCATTCTTAATGGGACGCCGAAGCAGTGTAAAGTGGGCACAGCCCGTTGGGAAAGAGCCTTACCGGGATGTACAGTGTCACGCAAAAAACGTTCATACCCTTTGAAGCGGAAACTCCACTTCTGGGAACTTATCCTAAAGAAATAAGCCAGGAGAAAGAAAACACTGTATTCGTGAAGCTGCTCATGACAGTTTAGCTGAAAATAATGTGATCCCGGAAGCAACCAGGATATCGAACCAGCGGAAAGATGCCTAAGTCATGGCAGAAGTCACCAGATAAACTTTCAGGCCCCGGTAAGAGATTCGACTTGCAACGACCGCGTCACAACAAGGAGAGCTTCCTGATTCTGCTGCAGGACGGAGAAAGGGCAGGGAGGGGCCTGGAAGCGAGGCCACGAGGCACCCTTCCTGCCTCCATGAGAAGACACGCTTGCAAACAAGGGCAGGGAGGAGACGCGAAAAGTGTCTTGGGTGATGAAATCACGGGAAATTCTTTCCCCTCCACTTTTAGAACCTCACAAGATGTTCTTTCATGCATAATACACATCCAGAGAGGAAAGCAGAATATCCTATTTCCTCACGGTCAACAGCGATAAACACAAAACCTGTGTGTGGTTTTACGTGGGAATAGGGAACAGAATTCAGGGACAAATAAAATTTCACACAAATACATGTGTTTCCTAATGGCTTCCCAGGTTACCACGGAAAGGAAGCTACTGGATTAAATTCAGATTTTGATGTTCACCAAAATTCCTCTAACTCTTCTCTAGCCTTAAGCTTCAAGAGACCATGAAAAACTCTCTTTCCTTCCCTCCTGAGATGCTAGACTGCTTCACCGCACAGTAAGTACTTCCTGAAAACCTCCTGTCTGCCAGGCACCTTGCAGCCCGTCTTTCCAACTACCTTGGGCAAGAGCTGAGACACAGAACACATGAGCAACCTGAGGCTCAATGAGGTTGAACAACTTGCCCAATGTCACACAGCTGGAGCCGGCACTGAACCTTGGTTGGTCTCACCAGCCTGTGTTCTTTCTAAACTGCTTCTCTCACTGCCTCTGGGAGGGGCCCAGCCCAAGTCCCCATTTCTGCTTACACGTTCTCATCAGACCCCAGTAGTTCCCAGGACCTTCGTTTCTATGTGAACTTCCCTTACCAGCTGGCATGGCTCAGTGGCTCTCTTGCTATTTTGGTCTCGTTTTATAATCTCCATTCACTGTCTATTCTGGCATTTTGCACAGTACCTAGAAAATGCTCAACACGTCTGTCGAATGGAAGAATGCGCAGGAGGCACAATGTGACTTTCAGTGCTGGGTGCCTCCCCATGGCCTGCGAGGCCCGGTCACCCTCCTGTCTTATCCCGTTCCCTTCACTCAGCCTGCCGGTCACCCCGCTTCCTGAACATGCCGTGCTTATTCACATCTTGAACTCTGTACTCAAATGTCCCCTCAGCCCAGTTTACTTCTGTGCCCTCGGGCACAGCATCTGGCATACGGTGAGTGTCCAGGGGCTCTCTGATGAATGTAGGGAGGACTGTTTTACAAGTTAGGAATGATGTATTATTAAGGGTTGTTTGAACTTCCTTCAACAAGTCCTTAAGGAAACAGAAGGGATTTCTGAAAAGGGTCAGCCTCCTAAAAGTTAAAAAAGTTTCCTTGGTGGAAAAAAAAGAAGAAGAAGAAAACCTTTGAATCCAAAAGGATGAAATGGAATGTTCTTTGGATACAAGCAAAGAACTTGAAAGAAACCACATAAGCCCTCAATTGCTTGCTAAACCATACACTTCCTTTAGCTCAAATTCAAAGCACACTGCTGCGTTCTGATGTCTGAAATGGGCTAAGGATTCTGGAGCTTCTGGAGGATTCTAGACAGCTCCTTGAAATAGGAACCGAACTGAGGTGAGTGGCCAAAACTCCCCTTCAGAAATCTGAAGTCACAAAGGAAAGCTTCTCGAAGGTAGATGGCTTTGCTTTGAGATGGCCGGCCCTCTTTTCTACCATTCGGCCACCGTCTCATGGGCTCTAAACCCAGGGGCCCTGAGGCTTCAGAGTTGCTTTTATAAACTTGTCACACAGACAAAGACTGAACAAGAGACCCCGGGGAAGCGCAGACATTCCCAGCGCTCTGTCTGCACTCAGTTAGTTGGGCTACGCATCCTGTCTGCGGCAAGGGAGGCAGGCTACTTACAACCAAGTGAGGTGTGAGGGGCAAAGAGAAGAAGGAGGCCCGTACCACCAGCAACTACTACCGGCCTGGGATGCCTGGGTGGCTCAGTCGGTTAAGCATCCGACTCTTGATTTCGACTCAGGTCATGATCTCACAGTTCATGAGTTCGAGCCCCGCTTTGGTCTCTGCACTGACACTGCAGAGCCCGCTTGGGATTCTCTCTTTCTCCCTCTCTCTGTCCCTTCCCTGCTCATGCACTCTCTCGCTCTCTCAAAATAAATAAACTTAAAAAAAAAAAAAAAAAGAAAAGAAAAATAGCTATTAAAAAAAAAAAAGGACCACTACTGGCCTTTCGTGTTGCCTTTCACGGACTCCCCACAATACTTCTGGTAAGGGCAGGGACGTGCTCCTCTCAGATGGGTAAAGGAACCCCAAAGCCCAAGCAACCCTCCCTCTGCCATCTGCCCCACCCCTGAATTTCTCCCATTCTCTCCTGTGGACCATGACCGTCTGCCCTGGGCTGGCAGGGCCTGATGTCAGCAATCAGCTACCAAGGCCAAGGTCCTGGCTGGGCTCTAAGGCCCCTGAGATCAGCTCCCTCCAGCCTCATCACTTCCCAGTGGGCCTCCCTCGCTCTGCGCTCCAGCCATGTCCCTTCCCTAGAGGTGCTGGAATGAGCCACATCTCCCTGGCACTCTGCACCCCCTGGCTGCCCGGCCTATCCCTCTGGTGCCCGTGCCACCTCGCTCCCCAGGTGGGATTAAGAGCCTGACCCCATATTCCTTAAACTGATGATGCTGCCTTTCCTACCCTGGCCTCTAGACTCTGACTCCTAGATGACTGAGGCGGTGTATTACCCGTCCCTGGTGCCCAGCACCACGTAGGACTGATATAAATACAACGAAGGTGGCAGTAGGGAGTGGCAGGTCAGAGTGGCTAAGAGGGTAGCTCTGGAGGCCACGCTGCCCGAGCCGAGTCCTGGCTCCTGCTACTTATCAGCTGGGGGACCTTGAGCAAATCATTGGACCTCTTCATGCCTCAGCTTTTTCCTCTGTGAGATGGATTAAATTTAGCACAGCCTCCTAGGACGATTGTAAAATTACATGAGGAGGTTCATACTAAGAACTGATACGAAGACTCACTTTCTGTCAGACATGAGCTCCTACAAGCATTAAGAAAACTGGGGGACCACGAACCAGAAAGAAGGCAGTACCAACACGGAGCAGGAGCTCTCAACATTCACAGCCTTCTGGACCTCGCTCTGGCTCAGACAGGGTGGGTCCTGCGGTGAGGTCTGCGGGTTTGGTCAGACGGCAGGGAACGTGGATGGACTTAAAACACACAGGTCTGACTTCCTCTGCGTCCCCCGCCACCCCATGCGTCCAAGGCGAAATCACCGCCTGGGCAGAGGAAGCCCACGGAATCTTCCTGTTTGAGGCCGATCCAGCAGGTGACTCCTGGTTCTCAAAATCCAAGAACGAACACCTCTGTGGCTCTGGTTAGCCTGGGATTAACTCAGAAGAAGAGGGCAAGGGATTCATCTCATTTATCGATTCATGTCTCCAGGGAATGCTTTTCTAGGAAGAGGTGACAGTGCTTTCTAAAGTAGTTTTTTTTTTTTTTTTAATGTTTTTATTTATTTTTGAGACAGAGAGACAGCAAGCAGGGGAGGGGCAGAGATAGAGGGAGACACAGAATCCCAAGGGGCTCCAGGCTCTGAGCCGTCAGCACAGAGCCCGATGGGGGGCTCAAACTCATGGGCTGTGAGATCATGACCTGAGCTGAAGTCAGACGTTCAACGGACTGAGCCGCCCAGGCGCCCCAAGGTGACGCTGCTTTCTAAGAAAGAAGCTGATCTTACGAGAGAGATAGCATACCGTGAAGAGCCCTGTGAGACTGCTTCAGAAAAAAAGCGCTGATAAGGGGTGCGCGCTGCTGCGGGGTTCTGAGAACTAATGTGCCCGTCACACGCGGAAGCAAGCAGGCAGGGCGAGAATCGCAGTCTCCTTAGCGGGTGCCTGCCTGGAGATCCCTCAGATACCTTAACACCACACCATCTCGGGCGGGGGTGCTGAGCTTCTCTGGGCCAGAGTTTCACATGGGCCTCACCTGCGCCGTCTGCCCTCTGCTCACCCCCCTGCCCCCGGTGCCCGCAGCGGCCCGGAGGCTTTCTCTCAGAGCCTGGGGCTGGGGGTCGTGCCCTGCACCGGCGAAGGCAGCCTGCCCGGCACCGCGCCGTGGAATTTCAACCCTGCGTTAGCAAGGGGCAGGTCCCCTTGAGAAGTCTGTCCTGGCGGCAGGGCGCGAGGGGGGCGCCCGTCCGCCCGCTGTCCGGACACGGGGTGGGCGGCGGGCTCCCGACCTGCTGGAAGACCCTCCCTCCCGGCCCCGGTGGCGGCCCCGGCAGACGGCAGCCCAGGAGAGGTGGGTCCCACCTGCGCTCACTCACCCGCCGCGTCTTCTCCACGTCGCCGCACGGCAGCCGCTTCACGAAGTCGATGCCGGTCAGCGGCGTGCCCGTCGGGGGCAGCAGGATAGAGGCGTCCATCATGAGGTACTCCACGTTCATGGGCTTCATCTGGAAGACAGACATCACAGGAAACCTCACCGCAGGGAGGGAGGGGCCGGGGCAGGTTACACGGGCCCCTCGTCTCACCCGCCGACAGCCAACGGGTACAGTGCGCCCACGTTAAGGCTGGCACGAGGCCTCGAGGCAGCCAGACGTGCGGGCCGCGAGCCTTTGTTTCCCGAGATGCAGAGTTTTCCTTCCCTTGAACTGACAGCTCGGACACCCTTGACGAGTTGCCTCCGTGCTGTGGCAAGCTGTGCTTTCTCCCCCTCTCGGGCCCCTCCACCCAGCGGGGAGCAGGTCCCTGACCGCAGCCTCCTCCCTCTCTTTGTACTCCCCAGAGTGACAACGACAGACCTAGCGAGGGCAGCCCCCCGTTTGTGGAGAACAGACCACTGACTGCAGGCAGGCGGTGAGCTACAGATCCTATTTAGTCCCCCCGAAGACTCCGGAAGGGATGTTTCCCAGTCCGCCGACAAGACGGAGACTCAGCGGGCTGGTGGCAGAACTAAGATGCAGACCCGGGCCCGCCTTGCTCCAGACGCCCTACGACTCCTGCCACATGACCACCAACCTACTTCTTTCCTCAGCCGCTCAGCATCTTACCTGGGATCAGAAAAACAAAGCTACTCAGTGAGCACCTACTAAGTTCCGGGCACCTGTGGGGCTCACCTACCACTGGACGGGAGTGCTGATGCTGTCCCTTGTTACAGAGGGGAACACCAAGCCCTGAGAAAGCGCGTATGCCCACAGCCACTGGGCCAGACAGGAGCGGAACTGTCTGCCTAGCTCCACACCACTTCCAGGAAGTCTTCTCTGATGACTACGATGAATGGTAACAACATCTCCCCTCCTGGAACTTTGCTGCATCAGTACTGACACTGAATGTGCATGCATCGTTGGACACAGACACTTCATTTACCAGACACCCTAAAGGAATGAGATTTCCTATATAGGTAAATGTCCTAGAGATTTAATTTTACTGCTTCAAGCATCACATGCTGTTTTAGGTGTCTTTTTTTTTTTTTTTTTTTAATATGTGAGTGATTTTTTTTTTAATGTTTATTTATTTTGAGATAGAAAGCAAGGGGGGGAGAGGCAAAAAGAAAGGGAGAGACAGAATCACAAGAAGGTTCTGTGCTGTCAGCACAGAGCCTGACATGGGGCTTGATCCCAGGAACTGTGACATCATCATCTGAGCCAAAATCAAGAGTCGGACGCTTAACCGACTGAGCCACCCAGGCGCCCCTTTATCTATCTATCTATCTATCTATCTATCTATCTATCTATCTATCTATTTTAAAGAAGGTGGGCTTCAATGCTATCACTTTTTTTCCCTCCTAGAACACACAGCTAACTATACACGGCATGTGTGGTGAGGGCCCGGCTGTCTGTGCTAAGCAGCCAAGGAGACAGCACACCCTGCCTGCCTCTTCCTCTGGGCCGCTGTAAGCAATTTCCTCCAAAGGCCTGGGGTCCCTCATCCCAAGTCCCTTTATCCCAGGGCAGGGTGGCAGAGCCCCATGTCCTGCCCCGGGGCCGCCCTTGGCATCGCCTTCCCGCAGTGCCTTCCGGCCTGCCCTCCGCCCCCTTGCAGCCCACTCCGCACTGCCCCACCTGTCTCCACCACCTTCCGCAGGAACAGCAGACGGCTGCCATCATTACACCTTCTGCATTAGATAGGAGGTGATTCAGAAATGAATGAGGGTCAAAAATGAAGGCCTGGATTTAGCACAAGGGTCTCCGTGAGCACATCAGCAGCACCCAAGGGTCTATCTCTGCTTCATTTAGCTCAGCGACTGGTTCCTGAAGTCTGACCTAAGTAAGGACTATACTTTCAGGTATGGGGTGTGCCCCCTTTCAGGTTCTCTGGGGTGCCAGACACCGTGCAGGACACACAATGAACATGCGACAAGACAGACAAACGAGGCCGGGGGAGGCCCCTATGGTGGGAGGGAGGGGAGCCAAGCACTCGTGCACGCCGTCTATGGGAGGCACCCCTTCGGTATTACACATCCAGGCCGGATGCGTGGTGTGGGTCCCATTTTACAGACGGGAAAAATGAAGGCTTAGGATGGAAGCAACCCGTTGAAGGTCGCATCGTCAGGAGGTAACAAGAGCAGGAACTGAGCAGGGGTTTAGGACCCTGAGCTTCTCCACATCGTCAGGTGACATACGAGCCTCCTGTTTCAAACAGGAAACCGACCTGAGGGGAACCGCAACGCAGAAGGAGACATCCCGGGGGTGAGATAAAGTGGTAGCTAACCCCTGAATCCACTCCACTTCCATTACTGGTCCAAACAAAGAGTAGGACACAGAGACACTCTTCCGGGGGGTCAGGGGAATGATGGGGGGCAGTGGCCACCACCAGGTGTGAGATGCACCTGGGTGGCCTACACATCACCGGAGGAGGCCCGGGCACTACTCGGGCACATCTGGAGACGAAGGATGCCAATTTACAACGTTCCCTTTCCACAGAGGGCCCGGAAGTGCTGAGGGCAGGGGTGTGGTGAGGGCCCAGCAGTCCACCCCCCCGGTGAGATGGGCTTAGGAGCCAGGAGCCACTTTGAGCAAGCTGCTTCTGTGTTTGTGACACTGAGGTTCATTACAACTTCCCGAATCGCTTCACTCTTTGATGAGCAGTGTCCACGAAAAGGACGTTTGTCACCTAATTACTGACTGCCAACGAAGGGGCAGGTGTTAGGGATGCAGAGAAATAAACACGACAGAGAGAGCTGCATGACCCGATCTCTTCCCATGACCGTGCCTGCCGGACGGAGGCAGACAGGGAGGACTCTAAGCCGGTGCCGTGGATTCGAGGGCAAGCAACACGCCGGAACATTCCAGGGGCCCAGCAGAGAAGGGCAGGACACTGCAGGGGAACTGCTCTGCCTTGGAATCCTGGCTCTCACCTCCCTGGCTGGGCAGGCTGGGGCCTCCTGATCGGTGACGGGAGAGAATGACAGCAGCCACTCCCATCAGGGTGACTCGGGCAGCAAGGGCAGAACTACGTACAACATGCTTTACATTCCTGACATGGCGTGAGACCTCAGTGAGGGACCATTTTGCACCCAAGTGAATCTTTCCGACCCATCTACGGCACGACCCTAACAGGGGGAGTGAGTGTCATCTGAGATTTCAAAAGTGGCAGCGAGCCAGAGGCACCGTTTCCAACTCAGTTCCCCGCCAATCTGTGTCCTTCGGTCAGAAAGGCCCAAGTGAGAATTCTCTCGGTTCCGCAGGACGAGCCGCACAGGCCACGCCAGCGCTTTCTGGCCCCTCACTTACTGTCATGCTCCTGTACTCGTCTTCAAACATGTCCAAAAAAATTTCTTCTCCCTAAAAAGGAAGGAAGGGAGGGAGATTATGCCTATTTTTTCCATAAACACCAAAGTATTATAAACTCCACTTCACGGCTTGGGGGGCCATCTGGTTCTCATTAGCGAGTTCTAGAAAATCACCAGGAAGTAAAATACACACGTGAGCATGAACACACACGCTCTCTCAAACGAAAGCCCGGATATCATGTTGCGCCTCTCAACGACTCTCCCCCCCCCCCCCTTTTTTAAGCATGTATAGTTAGATCCCTTCTGTCAAGGCAGCTAATTAAAACAGCAACAAAACACCACCACATATAATTAAAATATAAATGTGGTTAAAATGGCGAGTGTTCAACATCATGTATTTGTCAAGAACGGTGGGAGAGATGGGGAAGCCCGGCTCAGCTGCCGTGTTCAAACCAGGAGGCGCCACACCTCGGAAAGGAAGCGTATAATTAAGTATACTTAACGCTAAAATTATACAGCCTGGTCCGTTCATTTTTGAGGCACGCCTGTGAGGCTCTGTAGCTCCGCAGGGCTGTGATGGCTAAGAACTTGGGTCTGAAACATGTACACCAGGGGCCAAATCCCAGCTTCACCTCTCAGAGCCTCTCGCTGGGTGACAGCCCACATCTACGCGGGTCGCCATGAGGGTGACACGGGTCAACCTGAGCACAGAGCCCGCCGCCCGGCCAGGGCTGCTAAATGCGAGCATGGTCATTATGGGCACCACTGGACGGAGCACAGCTGGGGAGGGGAGGGGATATTCAGCTGAATGCATCTGGACTATTGGAACTGTCCTGTCTCTCTCCTAAGTCCGGAATCACACATGTACAAACACAAATACATGGGCAGGGTGGGAATGGAGGAGATCCTTTATACATTTTTCTAGTATAAGTTCTATGTAAGAACCACAGAAATCACGACCCTGGAAATATCCAACACCTTCTGAGTTATTATACTTAGGACCTTATAGGATTGTATTATATGTAAGACCTTATAAGTAAAACTTACAGGATAAAAGAACGACCTGGGTGGGGAGAAGGGAACTGCAATTCAAATGTAGCTCTCCTTTCGCTAATGGTGAAGAAAACCCTCTGGGCAAATGTCTACCTATGTATCTCTGTCTTTCGGTTTTTGCAATGCAAGACTTTCTGTGGGGGGTGGGGGGCAGGGGACAAACTAAGAGCAGTTATCCTGGAAAGAGACCCAAAGATGACTAATGCAGCCGTGAGGCCTCCGCTTTCTCCTGGGCTTTGCTGAGGACGTGTACCCTCGCTGAGGCAAGCCTCTTGCGATGGTCTAAGGGGAGCCTGGGATTTCCTCCCCCGTGCGTGGGGGCCCGCAGGGGTCCACCCTCGGCTGGGTGTGCCCACCATGCTGCAGCTGCACGGGGTCGTCTGAGCCTGACGAGGTGGATCCCAGATTACAAGGCCTGCTTTTCTCTCAATGAACATGGACAATAATGGGCAGTGGCTTAAAAAGCTTCCTGCAAAGAAAAGAGTTCTGGTGCCTATGTGCCTATAATTCATGGCAGTTTAAAGAGAATACAAAAAAACAAGAAAATGGCAGCGCTAACACGTTTCTCCTCATCAGCCAAACGACAAGGGGAAACTGTGGCTAACTGGACCTGGAAAGACCTGACGCAGAGGTCGAAAACCAGGAAGGGACTAGGTCCATGTGAATATGGAGTAATCCACCTACTGCTGACAAATTACGTGCTTCCCTAAGGAATACATCATGCCCTAGATAAGAATGACACAAAACCATCACAAGGAGGTATTTCAAAACTAAACATCTGGAATCCGAAGAGGAATCTACAAATTTCTCTTACTCAAAGTCATGGTGGTCCTTTACAAAATCTCACTACCCTTAATGATAAACGTCTAGAAGCCTGTACGAGGTTTCCTGGCACACAGGTCTATAAATAACGTACATGCAGGGGCGCCTGGGTGGCTCAGTCGGTTAAGCGTCCGACTTCGGCTCAGGTCATGATCTTGTGGTTCGTGAGTACAAGCCCCGTGTCGGGCTCTGTGCTGACAGCTTGGAGCCTGGAGCCCGTTGGGATTCTGTGTGTCCCTCTCTCTCTGCCCCTCCCCCGCTCATGCTTGCTCTCTCTCTCTCAAAAATAAAATATTAAAAAAAAATAATGTACATGAATATAATTCATAAATTCACAAACAATTCAAAGTTACTTTACATGAAAAACATAATTCATGCACCTATTAATTTACATATGTGACTTAGTCATGTGCAGGTGTAAGTAATTCACAACTTATATGTAAATTCAGCAATACACAAATTCACATGTGACTGATAAACCGTCCGCAGTAGCACTGAATCCTCAACAGGTGCCCTGGTAAGAGAAGCCTGGGGAGACCAGGGACTGGGGACTGGGACAGCGCTGCACGCGGTTCACTAGGGAAGCACAGGCATACGGAGCAGCCACGGACTTGTGACCTTCACGTGCGTATGCCCACACACTACAGTCCCAGTTACGTGACCCACACCACACTGCCGTCCCCTGTGCTCTGGTAACGTACCTTATAAAAATGCCGTACCAAGTGAACGCTTTCTTCTCTGGCGCCCTGTGAAAACAGAGGGAGGTGGGGAGGGAGGGCAGGGAGTCGGGTGAGTTACTAATTCCAAAATTTGAGAGCATGTAAAACAGGGGAGAGGCCGGGCTAATATCCTTAAATCTATCTAGTGGTTCGTAATGTGAGAGGGAGGGAGGGTGAGCTCAAAATAAAAACGGGGCAAAAGAGAGGTGATTCAAGGTGGTGACAGGGGAAGGGGGTAACACCGAGTTAGGTGGGGGCAGCAGGTTATAAAATATGGCCATGGTGACTCCATTTTTATACATGTGTGTGTATCTGGAGAGACACCCAACAAAGCGTCGACTCGGGTTGCTACTTTTTCCCCCGTGTACTTTCCAAATTTTCTCAAATAAACATGAAAAATAAGGGGAAAGGCAATAAACACTATTTAAAAACAACAGATGCAGGTATTGGCACAATAAACCGTAAGTAAATAAGCAGCGTGCGTGTGTTTGAATATGTATAAAATCTCTGTAATGAAGAAAGGAGAATAATACAATTCCGGTGACAAATATAAGGCCGGTAACTGTAACAGAAACCACACAAATTCAGTAACTAGGCGGGTTCACCGGGCCAGTCTCAGAGGAAGGGCAGTTCTTCTGGAGAGGCATCGGGGCCATTACGCCCTGCTTCTCGCTGGTGCTGCGGACGCTGGGGCTCCGATCTGGATCCAGCAGCTTCCTGCCCACCGCCTCCTCCCCTCCGGTGGAACACGGGCCGCGGGGGCGGGGCCCTCACCTCCAGGCAGGCCAGGTGCACGTCCTTCATGATGCAGCCCGCGTTGGCCACGACTTGCTGCTTTAGGAGCAGGCAGCTCAGCTCCAGCGTCGCCAACCGGATCTTCCCATCTGCACAGGAAACCTGGGTCAGCCTCGCACACCCTGGCGGGAAGCCCTCAAATACAGCTTCTCGCCTTTATCGCTTTGAGGTTAACAGGTGACGGGCCCTGGACACCCAGTGGGGACACGGAGGGAAACCCACGGGCCAACCCCTCCCCAGTCAATGACAAGAGAATGTACCCACACCGCCCATGCCAGGTACTCCCCTGCACCCCCTTTATCAGGGGAGAGGAGGCAGGAAAAAGATTGTTACTATTTATTACTGGAGGCTGAAAAAGCGGCCGTCTGTGGTTGCTCTGCTTGGCTGGGTTCCTTCCTCTTTTCAGGAACAAGCACCCCACTTTCGTTTGGAGAATCACCAACTCCACTCCTGGGCATGCAATTTGGGTGCAGCTGGTCCCTCCCCTCTGTCCCAGGGACAGGCACATCGGCCAGGCTGGTCAGATGCCCTATCCCTCTGGTCACGGTGACTGAGGGAGGGACGGGCGAGGAAGCCAGTCAGCCAATAAGGCTCAATTCCACACCGTGCTGGAACCACCGGGCAAGAGAACCTCTCCTCGCGCCGGGCCGAGAGCAGCACGGGCACAGTGGTGGGGCCTGAGTGGCACCAGACCAGGATCCACCCTGGCCACCCCGCACCCTCGCCAGAGTTTCGAATCTTCTGTTCGGGGTTCTACAAACTGCCCACCCCCTCCCCCACAGTCCACCCTTTCCCCCAGACCGCCCAGAGTATGTCTGGCAGGCCCAGAGCCCAAGGAGAGAAGGGCACACACACAGCGGTAGAGTCCAGAAACAGTTTTAACCACTTGAGCTTCGGTACCCGGCTGCGCCTGAAGCCGGCACTGAAGTTACACAAGACCTCAAGTCACACAAGCCAGTAGTTTTGTTTCTGTCTGGATTGCTTCGGCCAGTCTGAGTATGGGTTTCTGTCCATGACTGATCCACCTGCCATGCTACTGTGAACCGGGCACCGTGCTGGGCACTGTACGGACCCCTCCCTCAGAAGTCTCTACAAAAACCCACCGCTACGGGCACTCTAAAGACTGGGGTTTAGACAAGTGAAGTGACTTGTCCAAAGGTTCACCCCGGGCGGCAGTGGACTCCAGGGGCTCTGAATGCCAAAAGCCCCGTGGAGCACAGCTCCTAGAAGCATCTGTGACTGCCTGATGGGAGGGCACCCTGCTCTTAGGCAGACTCCTCCCTGCGTCTTTAAGCTCGTTTCTGGGGAGACGGCTCGATGTGGAAGAAGGGCCAAGAGAGGAGGAAGTCTCAAGGCTGCAGCCCTGAGGCCCTGGGAACCCTGAGGACCGGGACAGGCTACCGGGAAAAACTCGAGGCAGACGCACGAGTGCTCACCTCCCTGCCCATCCTTTTCCTGCTTCACGTGTCAGGAGGGGAACTGGAGAAGAGGGAAGCATCTACTGGGAGAGGCTGCTTGGTCTCAGCTCCGAGGCTCTCTCTCAGGGCCCCACGGGCCCAGCACGAACACAGCCCTGCAGGCTGTGCCCACCCGCCACCCGCCTCCCACCTCCAGCTCTC